ATCACTGTCTCACTTTTTCTAGTAGAGGAGTCCAACCAGTAGTGGGACTGATAAATCATACCTGATAGACGTGGCAATGCACGTGGGCTGGGGAGATCTGGCCTCGCACAAATCATTCCACCCTCGCAGCTCTTCTGTTTCCCTCTTCCTCTCTCAACAGGTTGTGGCAGACCCTGGCTCTCCCCACTGGTTGTACAACACTTGTCGCAGTGGGTGTCTGGACTGTGGCAAGTGCTCCAGGCATTACCTAAGCACCAATGTTACACAACAGAAATACCAAACCAGTTGAGGCTTCCTATCACCTCTCTGTGGAAGTCTGATTTGACTCCAAGACTCCTTTAAAACTCACTAAAAGGTTCTGTGCAAGCAACGATTTCCTTCGTTCCTGCTCCCAAATCAAATGGAACAATCTTCCGGGAAAGAAGAAACTGCAGGTGGAAAAAATGGCACACAGATAAGATTTTCCCTTAAACTTTCTCCGTAGCATCCTTCTGATGGCATGATTCAACATTATTTTTAATCCTTCATATGAACAGAGGAACTTAGATTTTAAAAGGCTGAGACTATTAGCAGAGAGCAGACACTTCATTTCCAGGTGAACGTCACAAGATTTTGCCGTAGGTAGAGAAACAGACATCATTCCTCCCTGAACACCTGAATGTTTATACTACATCTAGGAAACTGTTATAACAGTTTGGGAGAAAATTGCTGTTCAGCATAAGCAAATGTAGTAGGCCCACAGTTCTTGCTCTGTCAGGCAATGTGCTCTGAGCTCAAGAAAGTGTTTCTCAGCGATCAGGACACAGTTTTATTCAGTAATGTAAAAAAAACTAAGGAAAGCTAGTTTCCCATTCTAAAATATTGGGAAATCAAAGCAAATATCGGGAATAGTCAGAAGACAAAAGATAAAACAGATGAGTTTTTTTCCCCATAACCACAGCCAGTTCCTCTTTTTCAGATTTAATTGCATTCAGATGCTCACTTATCATTCTTCACAGAGCACTCACCTTCCTGAGTAAACAGGAAAAGAGGCGGATAGTGCCGTATTTGGGCTCCTCTCAGCCCCAGAAGTAATGATCTAATTACTTGATCAAACAGTCCCTAGGGCATGGACTAGACAAGCCACTTGTTTTCATGTGAGGCTCATTGCATTCTATACTTAGCTTCCTGGCATCTCAACTATGCCATGATTTCCAAAGCTGGAGCGATAGACCGGCAGCCTGGAGTCCAGCCCCACCTGGAAGCTGCCCTCGGTGCTGGATCACACCCTCGCACCTTCCCCGGGTCGTTGTGGTAGGGAATGATGAGAGGGGAAAGTCAGGTGTAATGAAGCCCCAGACTTCAAGATTTAATTGCAACAAAGTACAGGAGAGTGGGCTGGGAAGGCCTTGCCACGCTGAGAATACGGGGAGAATCTTTTAGGTAAACCAAGGGATGCAAAGAAATCCAGAGGTGTCATATTTTTAAAGCAAAGTGTTCAGCAGTTTATGAAACAGGTTTTTTTTCTAGCAAAAATCCAGTTGAACAGCCCACAATGGTGCATATCCAAACAGTTGCACAGGGAAAAATTTCAGTTTGAGATGTTTCTGTCAAAAATCATGACATCTGCACATCCTGAAGTTTCGTATTTATGTTAACAATCATGTCTCCATGACCATGTGGTGTTTCCTGTCTGCAGGCAAATTTTTTATAGCTGTAGGAAAATGGCTCCAGCCTTGATGTGCCTCCATCTTTGGTAGCTCTTGGTGATGAAATACAAAGTCTCTCTTGGATTATTGGGAGCCAAAAGTGTTGACCATGTTATCTTTTACTGAATTTTTCAGAAATATACTCCTGAGCACCAGAATACAGTGCTCAAGGGGCGCCTCTTCTGCAGCACCAGAAAAACTTCTGGGCAGGGGAGTCTGTCTCCTCCTGGGCCCCAGGAACCTCTCCGGGTTCAGATTTGCACTGTCGTGCTCTTTTCATCAAAGCGCTACCCATCACACCAGCCTCTGCTTCTGCAAGAGACCTCAACATGTGCCATTTAATTAAATAGATCCCAGAAGTGTCAGATTTGGAAAATCACTTCTTTTCAGGATGGCCACAAAGAGATGTTGCTGTGGGGTCCTGACTCACTGAAGTTAATGTGACTAGTCAAATGACCAAATTGCTCATAAATATAATAGAGATCCACAAATAATTTTCAATTAAGACTAATAATCCAGCCCTCTGATGTTCCCACATATTACAAATGCACATCAATTTATATCTCCTAAAATGTCTATTTCTCTCAGAAGTCATTACAATCTCTTGCTAATCAAATGTAACAATAGGATATACAATAACCCACTATAGAAAGGGAGACGTAGGACCGGTCCTTAGCATTGGTTTTAGAGGTGAGCCTGGAGCCCTAGGAAAGCATGAAGAACTGTACAAACCAGACTATGCGAAATTTCTCAGCAAGATAAGTGTTGGAGGCTGCTGCTGCAAGGGGACCTAAAAGTACTGGAGGACAACTGCTTGCCCAGCATTACCCATCGAGGTTAGCTCTAGGAGGAGAAGATGGGGAGAAATTAATCTGTCAAAATATTAGACACCTAAATCTGAGCTAGTTGCTCTCTGCTCATTTTATAATCTGCAGGGTCTATTTGATGCAGTTGTGGGTGTTTCTCCTCACCCCGAAGCAGATGTCTAACACAAGCAAACACCACTGTACAAGTCCTTGTTTCTTCCTATCATCTATAAAAGCCGCCAGCGTAGCATATGAGTCTCGGAGGGAGAAGCCGCACATGATGCCCCAAGTCTATGCAGCAAAGGAAGAGGAGTGGAAAGACTGAATGAACCATGAGGTGCTGCTGGGAGGATAAGTGCAGTGCAAATCCATCAGCTCACATGGGTTTAGGACAGGAATTCCAGTTTCCCCATGTAAACACTAGAAAGGAACCAGCGCCAACGCCTGCAATTCTCCAGTGGGACTCCTGTTTTCCAGCATAAACAGGATGCACTGCTCATGCTGAATGGGTTTTGGTTTTGGGTTCTTTTTTTTTTTTCACTTAGCATTTGTGTAAGTGATCTCATTGGGAATTTGGTCACCTAAATGTAGTCTGATGATCACATTCCACCTCTGTGATTGGAATATCTCAGAGAAATAAAGATTTTCTGTGCTGTGGAGCTGAGTGAGATATCATGATCAGCAAAAGGCTTTAATATGCTAATATAGAGTCCTGGGACTAAATCCCACTTAAACTGAAGCCCTTTACACTGCTCTGGCGGTGAAAAACACCTTTAAAATGAGTGCCCCTTTACTTTGCCCTGAATGGCTTGAAGAGGTCCTCAAGGTAACTGGAGTTGTGTCCCCATTGGCACTGCTAAGCATGAATGAAGGTGGAGAGGAATGAGTTGGCTGCATTTAATGGTTAAAAAGGTATTAGAGAAACAGATACCTCAACAGTTTGTGGAAGCGCTGATGGCCCACTGTAGGATTAGCTGTTTCTTACCATGAGAATTAGGACATGATATTTCACATAGTAAATCAGATCCATTGTCCGTCTTCCCTAATAATAGCTATCCATTCTTACTGCATTGAAAAAACCCTAAGGTATCATTCAGACATTTAAGGAAATAAGGACATGAACATATCCAAGCATATTAAATCTTTTTTGAAAAACAATTAATCTGGTACCCGATTTTTTTTTTCATTACTGTGTCATTCCCATTGGAATGACTTGGATATTAAGTGGAAGCAGAATTTGCTCAGGATCATATGTTTTTCCTGGAAAAAATTAGGATGTAAACAAATATGTAAAGCATGTATAGGTGGAGCCTGTTCAAGTAGTTAGTGGTCAGGTGTCCATACCCCTGGGCTCCCTTGTTTCCGGAGATGACGCCATGCAAGCCATATAAAAAGGTTTGCGTTTTGATGCTCACACCAGTTCATTTGACTTCTCGCTCACTCACCTGCATTGGTGAACTGGTAAGTCTTTGTTGGATTTATCAGGGAATGATGTGATGGCTGTGTTACTTGGTTGTTCTGGTCAAGAGAATATATTACTGATCACAGGAGAGCTTTGCTTCTGATGTTGCTGTTCCAGGATTTGTCCTGGAATGGGGGAGAGGATGTTCAACTCTTATTTAGAGTTTGCTGTTCCTTAAGCAGCTTGCAAATGCCCTGTCACCTCTTCAGAAACTGTGACTGACTGTCATCCTCCTTCGTATTCTATCTTCATTACTTTTTCATACCTCATTAAGTCTGGAAATTAAATAAATTAGCAGATGCTGCAGAGTAAGTCTTGGGACTTCAAAAAGAGATGGGTGGGAAGAAGCATTATCTGGAAGAAGGAAGCTGCAGAATACCTGAGGGCAAAGCTGCAGGAGACATCTGGGAGAAGCCAAGATGAGGAAATGAATTGGAACGAGGAGCTGCAGCCTCTGAGCCAACCGTTCTTTTATGAAAGGATGAGCCCATTAATTTTGATACAAGTCCAATGATGTACCATGATATACAGCTGGAGGATTTAGGATAGTGTCTGAATTTGTGGTCTTTGGGCTTTATCCTCGGGCATCAGCAGCTCAATGTCTACACAAAGGGGGATGTGCTCTGTGGTGTGCGTGAGGAACTGAAGAAGTGATAAGCAAACGATGGGGCCTGGAACGTCTGCTGATTTAATTAAGAAAAAAACAAAATGAATTATTTTCATGTTATGATGGCTTCTACAAAGTTTAACTGTAGGTAATTCTATAAAATTCAGGGTTTATGACTCCAGTCTTCCTAACAGTGATGCTTGCAGGCTCCCAAGAAAGCAAGGAATAATCTGGCAGTGTTAGTTGCGTATGTCTGAATCCAGAAATCATTAACACGTGTTTTTTCCTAACAGTCCTTTTCTCAGTCCAACAGCTAACTGCTATATATGTTTCCAGAGCTCAGGTTGTGAATTGTGGCTCAAGAAGAAAGGACGAGTGTCCTGATTTTCTGTTTCTCTCTTTACCTTTGCCTTTAGCTTCACCAGCACCTCAGAAGGATGTCTTGCTACGAGCAGTGCAAGCAGCCCTGTCTGCCCCCTCCCATTTGTGTGCAGAAATGCACCAAGTGTGTGGAGCCCTGCAAGACAGTGTGCGTGGAGCCCTGCAGCAACGTCTGCGTGAAGCCATGCTCCACGCCGTGTGTGGAGGTCTGCTCAACACCCTGTGCCACCCAGTGCACCACGTCCTGCACCACCCAGTGCGTGGAGCCTTGTGCCGCCCAGTGCACCACGTCCTGCACCACCCAGTGCGTGGAGCCTTGTGCCACCCAGTGCACCACGTCCTGCAGCACCCAGTGTGTGGAGCCCTGCAGCACCCAGTGCGTGGAGCCCTGTCCCCCTGAGTGCATCGACGTCTGCATAAAGCCATGTGCCACTCAGTGCCCAACCCACTGCAGCACCCAGTGCGTGGAGCCCTGCGTCACCCAGTGCTGCACCAAGTGCGTGGAGCCCTGCCAAACCCCATGCGTGGAGGTGTGCGCCACCAAGTGCGTTGATTCGTGCGAGACGGTGTGCCTGGAGCCATGCGGCACGGTCTGCTCTCGCCCATGCTGATCACCTTAATGCATGAGCAGCCCTGATGCTTCGGTGCATTGCAATATCCATGAGCTCATGAGCACCCACGGAATGAAAAACAGGTTACAGACCCACCTGCAACATACCGAGACCTCTTCCGACCTGGTTACCCCATGCTCTCTTTGTCTTGGAAAATATTTTTCTAAATGTTTCCAGCCTGTGTCTTTGATACTTCTGCCTATGATACTCCTGCTACTGCTACCTCAGCACCTTCTTCTTGGTAACTGCAGTTGGCCAATATTATACTGCTGGGCATCTTGGGAAGTTATTTAGCAATGGCTGTGCTCTAAGCAGTTGATGTTGGAAGATGCCTCCCCTCCCATTCTTTAATTCTCATCTTGTCTTTTAATGTATGTCCTCTTGTCTTTTAATGTCTATGTGCAGCAATAAAAATTGACCATCAATGGCATAATGTGTCTTTTGTCTTTCTTTCATCTCCCCATTCCCATGTCTTTGGACCCAAGAACATCTTCGTTTAGTTTTGCTTCTAAAAGCTGTTATGGTTGTGGAGGATTTGTGCCTGCAATGCAGTGCTGTAAACAGAGAGCGCATGCATCATAACGTGGAGCAATGTCTTCTAATGCTATCAACAAAACATCATCCGATCAATACCTTTCTGACAGATACAGAAAAAATTAGTGTTGTCCTATGTGAAAACAATGATAGAAATTTAATTTTCACCTTTATTAATGATAGAATTTCGATCTTTATACCTCTGGATTTTGGAGGCAAACCTTAGAAACTGTTAAAAGGTAAATTTAAGTGGAAGAAAGCCCCAAATCCAAGAAAGAAGGAATCAAAATGTTCTTGCTGGGATTTTAATTATTTCTTAAAAACATCCTGATGGAGACAAAAATGCTATTTTTGATTAATTCTTTCCATGATCCACACTGACTAAATATAGAAAGTAGGGGATTTGGCTTCAGGAGATGTATCTTTTTGTGGTTCAAGAACAGGTCCGAGCCCTGCAAGATTGCAGTTTTGTTCCCAGGGTTGCTGCAGATACTTTGTGTGGCTTTGGGCAGGTCTCACGCTTGTTATCTGTCTGTTCCCCATCTCCAACGAGAAGAAGTCACATCCCTGACTGTTAGAGTGGTTGGCATTTTGGGTTCATTAACGTCTGGCAGGTACAATAATATTTTAATTCATTTATAAATGCATCTTCTTTATTTGGAGTCCTAATTTTGAAACTGAAGGAGGGATGGATGGAGGGATGTTATACCTGTTTAAATGCTGAGTTTCAGAGATAATGTTCCCATTGTCTTCCCTACTGTGCATGTGACTTGCTTACCTCCGTCTCTGTGATGGCCACGCAATTTCCATGTCTGGGATGTAGAGAATTGCTAGCCACCTACCATATCATTATGGCAAGGGTGGAGAGCATCTAATCTAGAAAAGAAAAGAGTTATATTTAGGTGTGTGTAAACACTATTACCAAATCAGCTTTTAATGAAACCTTGTGTGCAGGTGTAGAGAGTTTGACATAGATTCCTTTTTGGTTTATTTCTGTCAACACCAAAAGGTGACACCATCAAACAGATAAACAAAAAATGATAGGCAAAACATGTCCCAGTAAGGCAAAAGAATTCTGCACCTGAACACACCTTTCAATTCAGATGGACAAAGCAGGGGTAGGTGGACCAGATATTCAACAGCACGAAAACGGAGAGGGAGACTAGGAACATGCACCTGTAATTCCTACTGTTGAATATAAACCTTTGGGGGTTCGGCAATGAACTCTGCCTTGCTAATAACTGCTTGCTGCTGCAACATGTGTAGCATCACCACCCACTTTCAGGCATGGAAAAAGCCTTAGTCAGGAAGTCATATGCAGCTACTAATGAGATCCATCCCATAGGTTAGTCACCTCTGACTGATTTCCAAGCATCTTCATCCAGCTCTATCAGCTATGTTAGTCATGTACAAGTTTTTCTTCCCTCCCTCTCTGCTGCGAGCATTGCACCAGGTGCAGTAATCATAGATGGGAGCACACAGCTCTGAAAGCTCCAGAGGAAGTGGCAGAAGAAACCTGCTGGTTTGTGCTCATCGCGCTTCCCGTGCCTGTAGGAAAATGTGTTGCAGAAGCCCTGACACACTGCTCCCCTATGCACCTGTGGTCAGTTCGGAGCATTGCTAAGATTCTCCTGCACATTTACAACAAATTAGTGACCTTTGGTCCATGTCAGCCTTGGGGTCATTAAGACCCCTGGTAAATCAGGCATGAGTGAGGGATGTTAAGATACGGGATGATGTTTTTTCCATTAGCACCTTCTGCTCTCCTACACCCAGTGGAAGCCATGTCCATCTCTCCGTGTATCACACATCTCTAATGGAGACTGGACTGTAATTCATAGCGCTGAATATGACCCCACAGGGCATAGCATTGAGGAATACTCAAGGGAGGCTTAAACTACCTTTTCCATTAGAGCTAAATGTTTCAGTTGAAACATTTCCTCTGTTCCTTCCTTGGAAAAATTTCAAGGGGATCAACATTTTTCTGAAACATGGATCCATCCCCAGAAAAAAGAAATTCTGCCACAACTTCAGGAAGCCAAACCCAGTGTTTGTGAAAAAGAAGTTTTAGTTGCTTCAGTGAAAAGCTACGTGAAAGTGCAAGAAAAAATAAGGGAAAAGCTTTCTAATTTCTTGGCAATATAAAATATTTCATTTCCCTTTTGAGGAAGGAAAATAGAGAAAGACAGGGGGGAAAAAAACCCAACAAACAAACCAAAACCAACCCCCAAAACACAGACTGCCAAACACAGACCTGCTGCTGTTCCCAGGAGCTGCGATGCAGCACACAGACCTCCCCCACCCTACCTTGGGTTTATGCCAGCTGGAGATCTATCCTGGTGATCAAAGACAAAACTATCAAGAAACACCTAAACTTCATGCAAGCATGTTCTGCTAACTCTGGAGAGGATCTGAGCCATCTCTCAAATCTGAGTTTAGTTGTGGGATCTTTGCCTAGGGTCAGGACAAGATGAATTATTAATAAATTAGCCAGTTATTACCAGATTGGGTGTGCCTTGCATTAAAAACAACAAATCCTCCGCACCTGAAAGAGGAGGCATCTCTCACAGACCTTGACTGAAGTCCAGGTGTCAGTGGAGGAGGTTCTGGTTGTGAAAGATTCTGGTCATCAAGTTAATCTGTTGTCATCAGCTCTGACTTCTGAAAGCGTATAAAAGCCTCCCATTTAGGAAGCTCATTAACCTCAGTGGCTTCTTCTTCCCTTCCTTTAACAGCAGGAGACACCAGGTGAGTCCTTCTGTGCTCATTTAGTTCTATAGGTGGGGGTTTCTGGTGCTCTAGTCTTGGGAGACAGGTTTGGGGTTTTTTTTTTGTTTTTTCTCCTTTGTTTTTCTAGTAACAGTTTCAGCTTGTCTGCCTGGCAATTTCACATCTATACAGGTAAAAGCCATATTATGTTATTTTGAGACTTTCTGAGGCTCCAGACAGTGCCTTGCTGATTCTTTGGACCAGCAAACCCTTGTCAGCCTTAATAATTTTTTCCCAACTGATAAGAATCCTTGTAGATAACCATTGAGTGTCAGCTACCAAAGGATGGTATCCACCAGCAGCTTGTTTTGCATCCACTGAGCAGCTATGGGCTGATCACTGCGGTCCTCTGGATCTCCAGAGCTCTGAGTTCCATTCTTTGTACAAAATCATATCGTTACTGAGCAGGAGGACAGTCCACCTGCATTTAATGGCCAGAGACATGGCTCCTGCTCTGAGGCTGTCAATGAACTAAGCAGAGATGCGGCTGTTGCCAGAAGGGATTGTTATAAAATGATTTTTTCTCTTTCAAAACCATTTGCAGTACTGAAATGTCACTAGCTTTCTGCTTCTCTTTGACTGGTTTTAAATATTGCTCTGGGGTTCTCCTTGAACTAAGCATGCTTTATGAAGGTCTCGGCAGAGAGGCTGATCTCCATAGAGGCTAACTGTGACAGGAACCCAGAAAAGCAATATGGGGCAGCTACAGCAAACTGGAGTCACCAACACAAATTTGGTCTGAACAGCAGCATCCTCAGGGATTTCCAAGGGGGTTTTTTTTGTGTGTTTTTTGCTGGTAGGATTAACTTTTAAAGGCTCTTCACTGTTGCTTTGATGTTAAAGCTGAAGAACTGACTGAAACTGTAATATCCAGAAAGGAGAAGTGTGTAGGGCTTAAAATAACTGAAATGGTACCTTGGTTTTCTTCCAGGCTTAGCAAAGATGTCTTCCCATCAGCAGAAACAGCAGCAGCAAATACCTTCGAAATGCCAGGAAAAGTGCCCTCCAAAGTGTGTGGAGCAATGCCAGCCCCCAAAAGGGCAAGCCAAGTGTCCTGTGAAGAGCATCCCGCAGCAGCAGCAATGCTCAAAGCAGAAGTAGCCCTAGCAGCAATGGCCACAAAGGGCCATGGAAGATGCAAATGCTTATTTCCAAGCTCTCCTTCTGTCTGCTGGCTCTACCAGAGCAGCTCGACATTTGCAGCATGCTTCCTTTGTTTGCAAGCAAAAATTACATTATAAAGAGATGCAATTCATTAACTCGGATTTATTCATCCTCTACTATAAAACAAACGAACAACATTGCAGGGCCACTTTCTTCTGATCTTTAATTCGGGACATGCTACAATAAAATTATAAGTAACTTCATTACTTGCTTCCTGATTATTTTTTTTTCACTTTACTAGCGTCGTTCATGCTCTTTTGCTTTCCTTTTATTAGCCAAATAATTATCCTTAAACATACACTTGTATATAAGGCACACAGACACAGGGACCCATGTACATTTGCCTTCTGGATTTCCCAAGGGATTATTTGACCATATTTTTTTATTTCAGATTAGGTGCAGAAGCCTACAGCTACTAATATGATGACCAAGCAGACCAGAAATGTGAAATGCCTAAAGCAAACAGGATGCAAAATGATCACAATTTCTAGAAAGACCGCTTAAATTCAGGGTCCTTTGGAGCAGAGCGGCTGCCTGGGTGTCAAAACTGGCTCAGGATCAATGTGCTTCCATCTCAGGGCAATCTTGCAAGTTGTTTTCATCCTGAGCTGCAGCAAACTGGGGAAACTCAGTTTTCCGCAAGATGTAATATTCTTGTGGGTCTATCAAAAGAATTAATCATGGTTTTAGAGTCTCAATTATACTCTAACTGCTGAGAGGAAAATAGTCTTTGCAAGTTTTTAACTCTGAAAGGAAGCTTTTCTTGCTCAGAACCAATAGTTTCCATTTTAAGAGAATCGGAGAGAGGATTTGGAATGTTTTGGTTCCTCAGCAGGACATACTGGCTTGGCTAATTGATTTCCAGTCAGCTGCATGGCAGAGTAGAGGAGGAAAATTGCAAAGACAGAAACTGTTGAGTGATATGATATTGGTGTCTGGCAGACAGACATAAGCTTGCTCTGCAAACCAGCAGCTGCGTGTCTCGGTGCGATTCAGTGATCAGATGAGGAGGCTGGATGTATCTAACACCCATCTAACAGGTACAGGGCCAAACTAGTGAGATTACATCGCTCCTGGCTCATCTGAAGTGTGGGAAAAACTTGTTTGCTTGTACTTGCAAGCTGTCTCGGAGACATGCCCATGCCTTATGTCTGCTGAAGGTTGCGGAGTGGCTGTAAATATGTTTAAATTGGGCAGATTGATCATGGGGACAACTCGGTGTGAGCCGATGCCAGGTGCCATGCTCTGGAACGGGGTATCTTGCTGAGAGGCGTTTCAGTGCAATTAGTGTTTCAGTGCTACCGGCCAGCCCGTGGGCTGACACAGTGCAAGGACTCTTGCAGGTTGTCTAACCTGAGCACCTGGAGAGGAGCAGCAGACCCAGGGTCCCCTGTGACCACCCAAGTTTCTGAGTCCAGATTCACCCAGCTTTGAACCTAAAAAATGACTGACTGTTGCAAGCTGAGGCTCCTTTTCATCTTTTTAAGCAGAAGCTATTAAAAACCTCCACAACTTGGTACTCAAAGTCATTTTTATTGTTGATTTTCACAGTGAAATCAATCCTGGATACAAGATCAGCCTAAAATAATTAGAGATAAGTACCAAATACATATGCAACAACACTGTGTGGTGAAACATGTTGCAGGGTGTAATTGAGACAGCAGTGTGTATGCTTCCTCCTTTATCTTGTCTAACAGATGGAAGCCATGCGTGAGGTTAATCTATTTCAGAACATGTCTGGATTGGATATGATTATCTATATATTTTCCATAATCTCATCTTGAGCTGTTCTTTTACACATCCTAGAAAATCCAAGGTGAGCTCTCTGCAGAAAGCGCTGATTGCTACCAATTCAGCTAAGCAGATAATTAAGAGGTGATGGCTCTTTTGTAAAAAATCTTTCTATTTCCTCTAGCCCAATGGATTTTTTTAATTGCATAAAATATTCAGCACTATGGATTCATGATTCAGAAAGTCTTGTTGCCATTGGCCAGAACCCCTTAGCAGCAGGTTCTGCACAAACCTCAAATCCTCTTATTAATAGGCAAAACCCCTAAACGCAAGGTGGGAGGTGGCATTCACGGACAGGGAGCTGGGGAGGAAGGCATGAAAACCAGGAGGCAGCATGCGGGTCTGGACGATGAGCTCTAGGTTCCTAACTGCATTTGGGTTAAGTTTGAATATTTGGCTTAATGAACCCCGACTTGTGCATGCTATCATGCTCTTTGGTCTCTCTCTGGGCCTTTAAGAGCCAATGGGATGATTGGGAGAGGGCAGAAATTCAGGCTGCTGGAAAGCTGAATGCACATGCCTACAACACTGCTTGAAGCCTTATTATCTATTGACAGTCCCGACGTGTCAGTTAGCGTGCGGCTGTTAGCATAGGATAATGCTAGCGTTAGCTGGGAGGGGAGTTGGAAGCTGTGCTTCTGAACAGAAATTCTGCAGTGAATAAAAGGGTGTTGGACAATGACCTCTGGCTGTGAGACATGGGGAGAGGAGGTCTGAGTTTGCAATCTTCTCTCTTCAGGGCTTCCCTTGACAGCTGCAAGTTACTTCTGCATGGGTGGCCACTGGTTGGGCTGCTTCACCTGCTGCTGCTCGATGGGAGGACACTTCTCTGGAGGGGAGCACTTCCCTGGCTCAGGGCAAGGAGCAGGAATTGGCACGGGGATCTCCTTGCACTCCTGCTTCTCCTGAGGACATGGTGAAGGTTCAGGGCATGGGACAGGGATTGGCACAGGGATCTCCTTGCATTCTTGCTTCTCCTGAGGACACGGTGCAGGTTCAGGGCATGGAACAGGGATTGGCACAGGGATCTCCTTGCACTGCTGCTTTTCTTGGGCACATGGTGTGGGTTCAGGGCATGGAACAGGGATCTCCTTGCACTGCTGCTTTTCTTGGGCACATGGTGTGGGTTCAGGGCATGGAACAGGGATCTCCTTGCACTGCTGCTTCTCTTGGGCACATGGTGTGGGTTCAGGGCATGGAACAGGGATTGGCACAGGGATCTCCTTGCACTCCTGCTTCTCCTGAGGACATGGTGAAGGTTCAGGGCATGGGACAGGGATTGGCACAGGGATCTCCTTGCATTGCTGCTTCTCTTGGGGACACACTGCAGGCTCCGAGCAGGTAACAGGAACTGGAACAGGGATCTCCTTGCACTCCTGCTTCTCCAGCACACATGGAGTTGGTTCAGAGCAGGAAACAGGGGCTGGCACAGGCAGCTCTTTGCACGCTGTTTTCTCTTCGGGGCATGGAACAGGCTCAGGGCATGATACAGGTGGGAAAGTTGGTGGTAGCTTGCATTGCTGTTGCTGCTGCTGCTCCTGGGGTGGACACTCGGGTATTACGACGACTGGTGTTTCTCCTTTGCCTGGCTCCACCACCGGTGCTGGCAATGGCACTGTTTTTTCTGGGCATGGTACCACTACTACTGGGACTGGTTCAGGGCAAGGTGTTGGGACTTGGACTTCAGGTTGCTGCTGTGGACATGGGACCGGCTCAGTGCATGGCACAGGCTCTTGGCTTTGCTTTGAAATCGTTTTGCTCAGGCCAGGTGGGAGGGTGATTTCCTGCTTGATTTGCATTTGATTCAAAGACATCTTTGCAGGAAACAAGATTATCTGAAAGAAATGTCAGAGTGTTATTGTGTCTGCTAAATGAACTCCACTGGGATAAGGGTGAAACGATTACAAGAAGCACGAATCAGCTGCAAGAGTAAATTTCTCTTAGTTTGCCCTTGGTTTCCCAAAGCAGGTTGGCTCAGAAAGAATTATGATTTGCTGTTTCTTTTTTATCCTGTCTTTCAGCTCCTGTTCTGACTCTGTCTTATCTTGTTCGTCCTTTGTGTTCTGCAATGTGGGACAGCCCCGTCAGGTCTAACTGAGGTAGAGCCACTCCTTTGAACTTGAAGCTGATTTACACTTCAGAGCTCTTCCTCCTGTTGCTTAGCTCTTCCCAATGTGTTAACTCCCCTTCCTTTCTGTCCGGGGGAATTGATGAGAGGAGCTGGCATATAACAGATCTGCTAGTTTGACAGGAGTTTCAGAAAGTCAAAATAATAATAAAAAATAATGAATGCTGAAGACAAACATTTAAAAAAAATTGACATATCAAAAAGTAGAAAAATATAAATCTGGGCCCAACAGGATATTTTATGTTGACAAAACTGAAATACTTCATTTGATTGAAACAGGTTCCAGATTTTACTTGGAATTAGAAACCTGAGGTGCTAAGGCCTCAAGGTGGACCTCACCAGTAAGCTGATATCTTTCTGTAGCATTAAGAGTCTTTACAGTGACAACAGGCCAGCTCCTCCTCTTGCTCTGGTTTCACTCTGACTTCCTTGGTGATGCAATGGATTAAGGTTACCTGTGGCAGAGTCCTTCCAACAGTCATGGAAAGAATTAGCAGTGGTAATGTGTCCCTATGTTTCTGGATTATCATGGCCACTAATAATACATGTAGCTTGCATGAATCAGAATAATCAGGAGGGATTTCTTCTCCCAAGGCCAGTAATGTGCAACAGGCCAAATGAGTTTTCCTAACAAGTTATGAAACTGCCTCTGTGTTGTGGGCTGCTGAAGGCAGGCACCAGGCTCAGCTGGACTCGTGCTGTGTCTGGTGAAGCCTGCGTTGCTGTTTTTCTAAAGACAATCTAAGGGCATAAATAAAAGTTTATAATCACAGCAGTGCTGGTTGGAAGGGGCATTTAAAGTCCCCTCAACCCAGGACTAGAGCCAACACAGATCATTGAGAGTGTGCAAGTTTGTTCTCCCTTCCCCATGTTGCCTACTCCTGTCAGCACATCTTCAAAGCAAATTCATTCCTCTCTTCTACATCCTCCTGGATCCTCCAGATCAATATCACTTGTCCCTTGCTATTTTCTCTATAAGGACCTGATAGGATCTTAAGCCAAATTAATATATTGCTCTTGACATGGTTAGCATGAATGAGACAGCACACTAGGAATACTTTCACCCTTCTGCTCCCTACAGCCCCTTATACTCCCAAATCTATCTTTTACAAAATAGTTCTTAAATGAAATTAAGTTTTAAAAATATTCTTGTTATAAATAGCAGAACCACAGAAAATAGATTTGGAAGGAACTTTAGGAGGCCATTTAGACCTCCTTCCCTGAAGGCAGCATCAGTTATACTTAAACCAACATAATTTTATCTCATCTCTTCTTCAGAAAGGGTCTAATTTAGCACTTAACTGTCCTCAGATTTACACACAATCTGAATTTGCCTTGCAGAGTCATTCCAAGACTGCTTGTCCTACCCCAATGCCCACAGTTTCTCTTCTTTGCAGGAATCTTTTGCATAGTGAAAGGTACCAAATAAAACACTTCTTTAACGAGTCTGCCTGCATGAAGCCAAGCAGTAAAATTATAGACATCACAAAAAAATATTGGTATTCTCTGACTTCCCCAGCCAGTCAACAGGGAGAAGCACGAAGTCGAGTGGATGGTGGAGCACAGAGATTTGAGAACTTTTATATGGTTTCAAAGCCCTGCCTTCTGGGAATGAGTCCTCCTAGGTAATGAGCTCATTCTTTCACAACTGCCGTTGTACATTTCCTCCACAGACTTGTTTTACACGTAGGCATTGTGAAGAGAGGCTTTTGGTGCAGAATGTGTTTTAATCCCCTTTCTCACTAATCTGATTTAACAAAAAACTTTCTGTGTGAATAAAGGTCATAGCCTCAGGTTAATACATTCCTTGCAGACCCCATCGACATCAGGGGTCTTGGTGTGGTGTCAGCCAGCACGGTTCCACTTCAACCCATGCAACTGAGTCAGTTCAAGTCAGCTAATGCCCCGCTTCCTAGGATGTATTTGTAGTTTTAGATAGGGGGGCTAATCTGTAATTCTCTCACCTGCTTTTCATCAATGAATTCTCTAAAGTGACTTTCTTGTGATTCTATAAACTCATGACAGATGGATTATATTTTTTTTCCCATGAAGATCTTCATAGATTTCATTCTTCTTTCATTTCAGAACAGATAATTTTGAATGCAGGTTCTTTGCCATGGTACAGAAGATGCAGCTCCCACCCATCTAAATGTGACAGAAGAGGGAAGTGAGTTTATCTCCACGTATCATGTGAAAAGTAAAGGGATTTTTTAATAGTATACAAGATTTATCACATCCAAATGGAATTTGGATGCTGATCTCATTTAGGTGCCACAATGGCATTTGAAAAGATTTTCCAATCTACATGTGAAATAAAGGGAGCTTGTAGCATATACAGTTTATTTCCTAAGCATTATTCCATGTAAAAGTTTATTGAGTGAAAATAGCTCACTGATTATTATCCTCAAAATCTCAGGGAACTATCAGGATACAAGTCAAAGAGTCCTCATTTCTGATGGTAGGATTATTTTCAGCAGCGGAGATGACACGTCCCACACAGAGGTGAATTTCATCATATTTGGTTGTCTTGAGACTATCTTTGTCCTGTCTCCACCATTTTACCAGAGCTCTTATCAGAGCACGCACTCCGGATGCAATCGTTGCAACAGGCTGAGCTGGTACCCATCACCGGTTGGGATTCCTGGGCTGCAAATGTAAGAAGCTGTTTCTAGCTGTGGTGTAACTTCCTCTGTGAATAATCATTTGGCAACTGAAGGACAGAACACCTGAATTTTAGGCAACATTTTCTTCTCCTATAGCGTGACTTCATCTGAGCAACTTCCTTTCTTACCTCATGGCAGGTGGGGCCCTGCCTTGCTGCCTGCCTGGCTGGCTCTGGAAGCTGCTTAGTTTGAGTTGCCAGCCTTTGCTAGCGAGGGGAACATCCCAACCCAAGACCTAACCCTGAATCAGGCCTTACCTGCTGCTCTGCTGGTACAAATTGCAGTCGCAGCTCTGCTGAAGGCAGGAACTAGGACACTTTCCAGCAGTGGAGAACCTGCCTGTCCACTTTCTAGGTAGCATCATGCTTCGTGGTTACCAAAATAGCCCTTCTGCTGAGATATGCTCCTGGAATATAGCCCTTCAAAGCAGGAAGATAGAGGGAATAAGCTCAGACTCATAAAAAAGTGGTTTTTATCATTGCACTTGTTGGCCTTAGGAGGACAGAGCTGCTGGGTTTGAAATGAGACAGTGCATTTCATTAGATCAAACATTGCATTTGAATATTTGTGCAACATTCACCAGTGAATATGCATCTTCAGGTCAGAGCTTCAGTAACCTTTGTTATGTCCATAAATTAGGGCACCTGAGAGAAACAGGGCACGTAGCACTTGCGGAGCACTGTTGAGGCAAAGACTGTTACAGGCTGTAAAGCCATGGCTCTGTGTTGAGACATTGCTTGTATTTAAGCAAGCAGTGAGGTTTCTGGAATATTTAGGTGTAAAATATCCAGCCTCAACTTGCAACATCGAGTGATTAAAGAAAATCACTTTCCATAGCTGGAAGTGAGACGACCTGAATCCTGTCTGGAAATCAGAAGGTGGGGCTGTTCTGACCTTAAACACTGGTTTGGATCCAGGTCTGGAGAGGCTCGGGGAGGTCACTTCACCTCCACGTCAGCAACCTCAGCAGAAAAATTAGGGTAATTATCATTGAAGAGGCTCTGAAGTCAGCCCATGGAAAGGGAGTGAATGTTTTTCCCACAGTAGAGGTGTAATTGCTTTCCCCTTCCATGTGAATTGCACAAAGACTATTTTTAGAGGCAAATGCCATATGCAGTGAAACCTGCCTTGCTCAAACATTTGGGCAACTACGGGAGAAACGTGCATTGAGTAAGGTGGCTTTACAGTGAACGTGGAGCTAAGCAGCTCCTCAGCTCTCACCTGGTGGAGCCCGGCTCAGCTCCCAGTCGATACTGAAGTTGTGCCAGGAATTCCAGGGAACGTAACACCACAAGTGAGAAAAATACTGGCCCAAGCCCATCCTTCCTAGACAGAAAATGCTACTCCAGCTCCCATACAGTTTGGGTAGGTGCTGTGCTGCTCTCAGTCCATCAGTCCCCAAAAGTCTAAGATGCCCTGGGAGGTATGCAGCAGTTATGGTAGCAGCTCCAAATGGAGGTCTGTAGCTGTCAACTTTATCTGGTTTATCATTGAGATGAGTGTCTCAATATCTCTAAGGGTCCTAAAGCTGTATTGCTTCAGTCTGAAAAGAAGGATCAGCTTTTTTAGAGGTGAAGACCACTGCAGGCAACCTCAGCTCAGGATGTGAAATGCTTGCTCTGACCCTCGCCTCATGTCTGCATGCATGCTCTTGGATTTTTCTCCGTCCAGTACTTTGAACCTTTGTGCACAGAGAAAATGGTCTGAGGAAACTATTGCACTCCTGGATTTCATGTCTTGGTGTGATTCAGAAGTTGCTGAACTGGATCTCCCAAGACGTGGCTCGCCCTTATGGCTTAATTAGACCCTGTTTTGTTAACACCCCATCTTGTTCTTTATTATTGTGGCTGTCATCATTTTAGGGTGGACATCTTGATTAACTCATCTCACGAGACAAAAGCCTTAATTACCTGTTACTGAATTTCCTAGTATCGGTCTGTCTGTCTGTGAGTCCAGTCACTAAAGCACCTGCTCTCATACTGCTGGAGACTGAGTGTCAAATCATGTGAGAGAAGACAAGAAG